TGTTGAGGCTGAATTGGTTGAGATGGGATATGTTGATGTGATGGGATATGCGGTTGAGGCCGAATTGGTTGAGATGGAATATGATGATGTGATGGTTGAATACGTGACTGAATTGGTTGTGACTGAATATGAGGCTGAATACGTGATTGTGACTGTGATGGAATATGATGCTGTGACTGTGGAATATATGGTTGCTGTGGTTGCTGTGATGGCTGACTATGTGATGGCTGTCTGTGTGATGGCTGCTGAATTGGTTCTGCTAAATTACGCATTCTCAATTTCCCTCTTTCTAACATCATTCTGTCTTCATTTGTTAACTGTCCTGGATTTGGTTGGAATCCAGGTCGACGTGGAACACTGTGATGAATTGGAACACTGTGAGATGCTGGAACACTGTGATGAGTTGGATTGTAAGGTGGCTCTGGTTGCAATTCACCCCCTTCTTCAAATTCCATGCTTTCTACTGGTGTAAATTGTGGTGGATATATTTCTGGTTCAGAAGGAGCATTTTGTGGTTTGGGCTTTTTTGGTTTTGGTTTTGGAGAGCCCTCCTCTGGCTTTGGCTTCTTTGGTTTATCTTTTGGCTTCTTTGGTTTTGGTTTTGGTTTTGACCCAGAATTACTTGTATCATCCCTCTTGAATTTTGGTGTCTTTCTATTCTGTGTCTCATTCTTGTTATCTTCTACTGAGTTGGATCCAACGTGCTTACTATCACCCTTCAAAATGTATACTGTTGCTCCAATTCCACTTCCTACTATGATTAGAATTATTATCATAAATATGTATTTTAATCTACTGTTCTTCATATAGGGGTTGATTGATCTACCATTAATACCAGTAAATGACGTAATACACCCTGATAACTGGAAGAAGGATGTATTACGTCATTTACTGAAATTGAAGTAGGTGATACTCTACCAGAGTATTTTGTAGCCCATTTATGAAAACAAAGAATCAATTTTGTACATTTCCAGATTGCACCAAATCGTACACTTGTGCATCAAAGTTGAGGGACCACATGAACGTCCACAGCTGCATCAAGCCATACGGGTGCAACATGTGTCACAAGACGTATTGCAGCAAGAAAGCACTCGATGTCCACATCAAGACACACGATGGATACCAGTACAGCTGTAAAGAGTGTTCTACGACATTCTTACACAAACACACGTACAAGAAACACAGGTGTAGTAAGCAGTACACCTGTATAAAGTGTAATAAGAAGTATGAGAGAGAAAAGATGCTAAGGAATCATGAGAGTGTTTGTGGCACGAATTTAAGTTGGAATAGCAGTGAGGGTGAAGAGGAGTCATCTGTAGCAGTTGTGACTACAAAAATACCCTGTGAAATTTGTGAGTGCCTCTTTAAAACGGCCAAAACACTCAGAGAGCACCAGAAGGCAATTCATGAGAGAGTTACTCAGAAGTGCCAATACTGCGGCAAGGAGTACAGGCACAGCAGTGGCCTAAGCAAGCACCTTGGTTCCTGTAGGGACAAACACGTCGTGAACGAGTGATTTATTTCAATACCTTTTTCTCACATATAAATTGCATGATTTTGTAGAAGAATAGCATGAAACTCCTCTTTTCGAATTCTATTCCACCGTACATGTATTCCGGAATACTGC